CACCAACCCACGGAAACAGACGGATGCCGGTGGAACATTAAGAACTCACCATGATGCTACGTCGTTCATTAGAAGTTAACCCCTTAAACCCAGAGAGTCCCAGGAGCAAATTCCACCTGAAATTACATCTGTGAATGAAAGCAAGTCCTAAATTATACATTGGAAATACAATTGTTCGTATTTGTGTGACAGAAAGTCATTAAGGAATATTTGTCAGGTGGAATCACTATTTTTAATGTGACCAAGTGTGATTAATGGGTGATTTAACAAATAAAAAATGGCCATTTTTTTCCCAAAATAAACATTTCAAAATACCACGAAGGCCCATTTCAAAACTCTGGATGAATCCTCAGACTTTATAGATCCACATCTTGTCTATAAGTCAAGCTAATCTGGACTGAATCAGTTGAAGCATGTTTGTTCCACAAATGTTTTAGTGAGCAGTGTTCAGGAGGAAATGTGATGTTGGCACAGTGCCTAAAGTGGCCAAATGTATTTTTCGACTTATAAAAGGGAATCTGACCAGAAAATATGCTGATTTACATTATTGGAGACTTTATGCATGAGACTAATCACGGTTTATTGAAATAAAATGCTAGAGCCGAAACGGAGCAGAGTGACCTCTAAGCTGCTGATATACGGACGACTTTTATGCACACAGCGAGCATGTTACGCATGCCTTTTACATTACCTCAAATAGTCGCTCAATTATGTCTGACCCCCCCTTGGAAAGATCTGAGTCTCTAGTGTCCAGTGATGACAGCCATTAGGGGGCGGGGCTAAGAATGAATACCTGTTGTTGCATTACTCCGAAAGAGACACACATGTCAGGTGGAATTTTGAATCTCATTTTTTTTGTTCACGCAGCTATAAAACAAAAAGTTTTTGTGAAAAAATAATTTAAAAACCTGTTTTAGAAAATTTAAAGCCCCATTTTGAAAGGTGTGTGGATGAAACACCATGTGACCGTGTTTGAGCCATTTCTAGAAATAGATAAACATGAGCAGGTGTCAGTTCGGCCGGGTACCGGGCCCGTCGGGCTTAACAGGTTAATAACCGCTTTATTTCTCCGCAGTCTGAGCTGCATCACCGCCTCTTAACCGCCTCTTTCAGGAAATGATTGATCCTCTTTCTGCAGCAGATTTCAGGATAGTAGACAGTTCATCCCTTCAAACCACACGAATTGCTTCAGAATTCATTAAAACAGCTGTTTGAATATCAGTGATCTGACTTATAAAGTCTACATAGAAAAAAAGAAGGAGTGTTTATAAATACTTTGAACAACAGGTCTGACCTCTGATGCAACTGATCCACCATTTATGAACAGGAGTAGAAGGTGTGTTCACAAACCACCGGGGCTGATATTGAAGGAGGTGTCGCTATTTATAAAGTTTTATAAATCCAGCTGAGAGCTACAGCTGCAAACACAGCTCTGCATCAACCCCAGTGAGTTTCAACCACCATGAAACCAACAGAAAAGTCGTTTAAAGTCGTTCCATAAATAATCAATCAGTTTATACACATCAAGTATCGATTGGTTTGGTCTTAAATTTGGTGAATTTCACAGTGAGAATTCAAATCTGAATATCTGATTTCATGTTGATTTTTTGTATCTGTTTCATCTTCATGGCTGCAAAGACTGGGAGCTGATATGGAACCAGTTGATCCATTAAACACAGTGCAACCTGAAAAACTCACAGGAAGACAAAAATTAGGAGAAATTTATTGATACAATTACAATTATTTGGTCTTAATTTTGATAGATATGCATGAACAGGAGTAAAGAGCAGGGCGAACCCCCCCCCCCCCCCCCCCCCCCCCCCCCCTCAGGCCTGAAACTGGTGGTGGAGTGGAGATAGATGGAGCTGGTCAGTCTGTAGACTGCTGTTTGGAGAAACGGTCTGCTGAGCTTCATGGGGAGATCCAGGGGACTGCGTGAGCTGATACTAGAGCTTCACTTCCTGAAAGATGGAAGTCCAGCTGGATAACACAGGCTGAGAGAACCTGTCCATGATGAGCAAGCATGAAGCGACAGTGGAGAGGAAAAACTCTGGCAGAACCAGGCTCAACATGGCGGTCTTCTGCCAGACCGGTTGAAATGAGATGGAACGCAGTAAGAGTCCAGGAGGAACGACGCTCTGATGAAGCTTTAGCTACGATGGTGGAGGAGGGGCTGGGTGAAAACGATGTCATCTAGACGAAGTCAGAGCGGGACCACCGCCTGCTTACTAGGAGCAAAGAGTTGCATATCGGAGGCCTTTTAAGATGAACTTTGGATGCCGATTGGCTTTCATGGAGGAGTGGTTCAAAGCTGATTGGCTGATAGGTGGATGAAGGAGAATAATCAGTTTATTCTGCCTAAACTCCATATTAATAAAATCTGCATTACTCCAAAAAAGCAAAGAACAAAAACATTCTTCTTTCTTCTTTAGTGATTTTGGTTTTAATGCTGAGAATTTCCCCCTCAGTTCCTGCTGCTCAGGGGTCAAAGTAGATTTAAATTCACAGGGTTTGATATAAAAAAAATTCTGAGAGAACCGTCATAATTTTCTTGTAATGCCATGGCAACCCAGACCTAAATTAAATGAATATGCTACTAAAATGTTAACATATTTAAAGGAAACAGAAAATGTTTTAATGACAATGCAAGGAAACATTTCCATCATATTTAAATAGAAATGAGAACAATGAGAGAAATATTCAAAGATCTATTAACCTTTTCATCTGGATCTTTATCCAAAAAGAAACAGAATTTAATGAAATATTTGCTTCGGATATAATTTAGATTCCTTTTGAAGGAAATTAAAGAATGTTTAGCATATTGTGAGCTGGAAGAAATAAAATCTTGATAGTTAGACACTTGGCAGAGGATGATCAGCCACATCTAGTTTATTAAGTAGCGAGAGCAGGAAGCCGTACTGCTGAGAGCGAACCATCAGAGTGGAGCGTAAAGCGCAGACTCTGAGCTAAGCTACTCAAAGACGCATTTCTGCACAAGCATTGCTGATACTGCTTAGCTGATTACAGCACAATGATGCATTTTAAACGTCTGACCGATTTAGTCTAATCTCATTAACAAAAACTCAAACCCATGACTAGTCATGTTTTGGTAATCAAATATCGACGTTTAGCTCGTCAGTTTTTGTTATTGTCATGAAAAAAAGGAGCGACAACGAAATAATTTCTTCATCGTCATCATTGACAAAAACAACCCTGCCTGGGTCCTGGACAGACGTCCAGAAATTCTGCTGGATTCTCCTAGTTTAGCTGGTGGTTCTGGCTGAACCTCCTTTTTGTTGACGTATTGAAGTGCTCTGAGTTAAATGTTGCCACCTTGGGTTTTTTAAAAAGAGAGGGGAAATGTCAAGCAACCACCAGCAACCACGGAGCCAATGATTGGCTGGGGTGGCCATGATCACCCCAGCCAATCATTGGCCAGCCCTTCCAGGTGACACGTTATTCCTGTAGGAACAAACTGCTCCTCCGCTGGAACAAGCAGTTCCCCTCTAAACCAGAGGGTCGCAGCAGAGATGGTCTCAGATAAAATGTCCTAACAATTTCATTATTCAGCTATTAGCATATTAACCATAAACTAACAACATTACTGTAGCTAATTATTAATTACTAATGCATGAAAAAACAAAAAGTAAAGTCCTGGTCTTTTCAGAAGTAGATTTTTGTGCTTTATGGGGGAAATTATGGGTGATGATTTTCTACAGTCATTAAGATCCACTACTCAACATTTCACTGAACCATAACCAGTTTAGACAAAATAGATTAATAAATATGCGTGTAGATTTATTAGTAAGGGCTTCGTAAAATTCTAGACTGTTTTTTCTCATTTATTTGAAAAATACAGTTTATTTTCCAGTGCAGTGTAGACTAGTATAGATTAATCTGGTTGAACTGTATCTGTGAAGAGCCTCGAGATCACATGTTATTAATTGGCAGAGATGGCAAAAGTACTCACTTTCCGTACTTGAGTAAAAGTACAGATACTTGTGTTAAAAAATACTCTGGTAAAAGTGGAAGTACTGATTAAACTTCTTTACTCAAGTAAAAGTAACAAAGTACAGGCTTGTAAATTTACTTAAAGTATAAAAGTAAAAGTAGAAACCACTTTTTTCATGCCGTTGCCTACATTTTAAATGGATGTCTGCCAATAGGACTAGATCTCCGTTGTGTTCATTTTCAATCATCTCGTCGTCCATGCTACTATGCTAACGCCACCGCCACCAAGCTGCAATGATTTGCCGCCAATGAATACCGCCGAATCTGTCGATTCATCTTGTAGTGGTGCGTCAAATGCAACGTAGATTCCCATCCAATTAGATTGAATTTGGTATTGATGGCGTGAAAAATAATAACGGTAACTCCATTGAAATGATTCAAAACTAAAGTAACGAGCCAATTTTTTAAAATGTAAGGAGTAGAAAGTACAGATATTTGTGTAAAAATGTAAGGAGTAGAAGTAAAAAGTCGCCATAAAAATAAGTAGTAAAGTAAAGTAAAAATATCAGAAAAATCTACTTGAGTACAGTAACGAAGTATTTGTACTTCGTTACTTCCCATCTCTGTTAATTGGGACTATAGAAATAAACTGAATAGAGTTGAACTAAACTGACCCTAAACTGGTTTTGGCCCCTAAACAGCCTTGCCTCACCCCTTAGTGAACATTGGTCCCTGCCTGGACACCCCATGAACATTTCATGGCTCCACCGCTGTGTGAACACACCTTAAGCCCCGTGTGGGATGCCATCCTGTCTTTCGGTACCAGACAAACTGGTCCAACTGGACTATTCTGGTCATGGTTCCTTAGGTCAGACTTGCCTGGGTTAATCATTCCGTCAGCAATGAAAGACAGGAAGTTCGGGAAGTAGTGAAGTCCGGCATTAAGTTTGTTTTCCACCAAATTTTCTGCTAAAGCTACAGATTTTTAACCATTTCATTGGAATTCAAAAGTGTAAAATCAACCTTTTTGATTCTGTTTACAGCTAGCTCCTCACTGATTGGCTGACCTCTGAGATCACCACCATGCCTCACCTGTTCCTTGCCAGTAAGATCACCATGCCGGAGGAGCTCTATGCCAAAGGGGCCGACAGGATCCCGAGGAACACCATGAGGATCCCAGCGTCCATCTCTGCTGAGAGGCTGAGGAAAGACGGCCCCGTCGTCGTGACGACACGAATCCCGCATGTGAACGAGGTCCAGCTGACGGCGGCCACTGGAGGCGCAGAGATGTCCTGCTACCGCTGCATCGTGCCGTTTGCTGTGTTCGTCCTCATTGCTGGCGTCGTTGTGACGGTTGTGGCCTATACCTTCAACTCCCATGGGTCCACCATCTCCCTGCTGGGACTGGGGATGCTTTCCACAGGGATGGGCCTACTTGGATGCAGTGCCATCTGCTGGAGGCTTCGACTCAGGAAGAAGAAGGACAAACGAAGGGAGAGTCAGGATGCCCTCATGGCCAGCCAGAGATACTGCATGGCCTGATCATGGTCAAGTGTGGACATCAAACTCAAAACTCCTTCATTCATCGAGCAGATATCTAGACTGAATGTACCACAGCGACACCGAACTGGATCATCAGTGTACAGAAAGCTCCTAGCCAGTTTTCTTCAGTCTCAGTGGCTCTAAAGGAGAAGACAGTGCCTCAGTGGACACAAGACATTCTCTGATGAGACCAGAATGTCTGATGGTCTGAACTGAACTATCCCATTAAACTGGTTTATTCTGACCAAATATCTCACAATCTAATGCTACGTTTACACCAAACACACTTTCACCATCAATTAGGCTTCTGCTGCTTCATCTCTGATCCACATTAAAGTGGCTATAGAATGATTCTATAGGGTATCTGGTCCTTCAGGTCTCTAATAGGCTGATAGAATGATTCTATTGGGTATCTGGTCCTTCAGGTCTCTAATAGGGTGATAGACGTACGTTCACTGGATAACAAAACTGACCATCTTCAACTCGAGCTCTCAGCAAAGAGGGAGTTTAGGGACTGTTGCGCTCTCATTCTGACAGAGACGTGGCTCACATCATCAACCCCGGACAACGCCATTAGCCTGGAGGGGCTAGCTACTTTCCGCGCCGACAGAAACAAAGAACTCAGCGGTAAGAGCCGAGGAGGCGGACTCTGTGTTTACATCAATAACAACTGGTGTAAAAATGCTAGAATAGTCTCAAGTTTTTGCTCTCCGGACATAGAGCTTCTGACTGTTAGCTGCAGACCCTTTTACCTGCCCAGAGAGTTCACTGTTGTTACCATCACAGCGGTGTATGTCCCCCCCAGCGCTGATACAAAGGAGGCCATGAGTGTTCTCTATCGGACTGTCTCTGAGCTGCAATCTACACACACAGAGGGCGTTTTCATCATTGCTGGAGATTTTAATCAGGCGAATATGAAAACTGTTCTCCCTCATTTTTATCAACACGTGGATTTTGCTACTCGTGGAGAGAACACTCTGGACTTAGTTTATACAAACATAAAAGACGCATTCAGAGCAGCCCCCCGCCCCCACATCGGCTCCTCAGACCACCTTTCTGTGATGCTAATTCCTGCATACAGACCCCTGCTGATCAGAGCAAAACCTACAGTGAAGCAGGTGAGGGTCTGGACGGAGGGGGCCATGGATGCACTCCAGGACTGCTTTGAATGCTCTGAATGGGACATGTTCAAATCAGCAGCAACATATGACAACAAGATCAATGTTGATGAGTACGCCATGACTGTTTCAGCCTACATCAACCACTGCATCGAGGACGTCAGCACAACAAAGACCATCACCACCCGAGCCAACCAACGGCCCTGGATGACTGAGGAGGTCCGCCACGCGCTAAAAGCACGGAACTCAGCCTTCAAGTCTGGTGACAAGGAGGCACTGAGGACAGCTAGAGCCACCCTGAACCGTGCCATCAGGTTAGCAAAGCGGAACCATAACCAGAAAATCCAGCATCTGTTCCACGACGCCAACAACACCAGGAGCATGTGGCAAGGCATACGGGCGATCACAGACTACAACACGCCCCCTGCCCCGGTGGATGAAGTTGATGCTGACTTCCTAAACGGACTAAATAACTTCTTTGGGAGGTTTGAGGCACTAAATCGCACTCCAGCAGTGAAGGCTGTCCCACATCAGGAAGAGGAGGTTCTCTGCCTTGACACAGCCGACGTGTGGAAGACTCTGAGGAGGGTCAACCCGCGGAAGGCCCCAGGTCCCGACAACATACCTGGGCGGGTGCTCAAGGAGTGTGCAGGTCAGCTAGCTGGTGTCCTCACGGACATTTTTAACACCTCGCTGGAGCAAGCCACAGTGCCAGCATGCTTCAAGTCTGCCTCCATCATCCCAGTGCCAAAGAAACCTCAAGTCACCTGCTACAACGACTACCGGCCCGTCGCACTGACTCCCATCATGATGAAGTGCTTTGAAAGGCTGGTAAAGGAACACATCGTCTCCAGTCTCCCCCCAACACTCGACCCGTTCCAGTTTGCCTACCGGCGAAACCGCTCCACTGAGGACGCCATCTCCTCTGCTCTTCACCTGAGCCTGGCCCACCTGGAGGAGAAGAACACCCACGTGCGGATGCTGTTCCTGGACTTCAGTTCAGCGTTTAACACCATCATCCCACAGCACCTGGTGGGAAAGCTGGAACATCTGGGCTTCAACACACCCCTTCGAAACTGGCTGCTGGACTTCCTCACCAACAGACCTCAGTCAGTCCGGGTCGGTCAGAACACCTCTGATGTCATCACCCTCAGCACGGGCTCCCCTCAGGGCTGCGTCCTGAGCCCCCTGCTGTTCACCCTGATGACATATGACTGCGTCCCCAGGTTCACCACCAATCACATCGTGAAGTTTGCGGACGACACCACGGTGGTGGGCCTCATCAGGGACGACAACGACCGGGACTACAGAGAGGAGGTGGAGCAGCTGGTGGACTGGTGCAGTGAAAACAGTCTGATCCTGAACGTGGAGAAGACGAAGGAGATCATCGTCGACTTCAGGAAAAACCGCCCCCACCATGCTCCACTGCTCATCAACAGCTCAGCTGTGGAGGTGGTCAGCAGCACAAAGTTCCTGGGGGTGCACATCACGGACAACCTCACCTGGACTGTAAACACTTCATCTCTAGTGAAGAGGGCACAGAAGCGCTTGTACTTTCTGCGGAGGATGAGGAGAGCCCGCCTGCCCCCGCCCATCCTCACAACCTTCTACAGAAGCACCATAGAGAGCGTTCTGACCAGCTGTCTCTCTCTGTGGTGTGGAGGCTGCAGAGCTTCTGACTGGAAGAATGTGAGGAGGGTGGTGAGGACAGCGGAAGGAATCATTGGGGCTCCTCTTCCCTCCATTAAGGACATTTCATCACAGCGCTGTGTGTCCCGAGCCCGTAATATCATCAAAGACCCCTCACACCCCCACCATGGACTGTTCTCCCTGCTGCCCTCTGGAAAGAGGTTCCGCAGCATCCGCTGCAGATCCACCAGGTTGTGCAACAGCTTCTTCCCCACTGCCATCAGACTGTTGAACCTTTGATCCACAATCCGAACTCTGCACCTATTGCACATTATCGGGCATCAAATGCTGCTGAACTTTTAACTTTTAGCCCTTTAAATTGTTCATCTCATTGTATTTTTCAATAACGCATTTTTTGCACAAATGCCATTTTGCACTGAACCACTGCAACTTGCACACTGTCTCTTATCCTCTGCACTGTTCACACTTTGACCACTGCTGCACTTTTTGTATTTTTCTATAACTCGTGCCATTGTGAAATATCAATGCAACGTTCATAAGCTGTATGTAACGCAATTTCGTTCTGTATGCACCCTGTGCATACAAAATGACAAATAAAGAAGTCTAAGTCTAAGTCTAAGTCTAAGTCTAAGAATGATTCTATAGGGTATCTGGTCCTTCAGGTCTCTAATAGGGTGATGGAATGATTCTATAGGGTATCTGGTCCTTCAGGTCTCTAATAGGGTGATGGAATGATTCTATAGGGTATCTGGTCCTTCAGGTCTCTAATAGGGTGATAGAATGATTCTATAGGGTATCTGGTCCTTCAGGTCTCTAATAGGGTGATAGAATGATTCTATAGGGTATCTGGTCCTTCAGGTCTCTAATAGGGTGATAGAATGATTCTATTGGGTATCTGGTCCTTCAGGTCTCTAACAGGGTGATAGAATGATTCTATAGGGTATCTGGTCCTTCAGGTCTCTAATAGGGTGATAGAATGATTCTATCGGGTATCTGGTCCTTCAGGTCTCTAATAGGGTGATAGAATGATTCTATAGGGTATCTGGTCCTTCAGGTCTCTAATAGGGTGATAGAATGATTCTATAGGGTATCTGGTCCTTCAGGTCTCTAATAGGGTGATAGAATGATTCTATAGGGTATCTGGTCCTTCAGGTCTCTAATAGGGTGATAGAATGATTCTATAGGGTATCTGGTCCTTCAGGTCTCTAATAGGGTGATAGAATGATTCTATCGGGTATCTGGTCCTTCAGGTCTCTAATAGGGTGATAGAATGATTCTATAGGGTATCTGGTCCTTCAGGTCTCTAATAGGGTGATAGAATGATTCTATAGGGTATCTGGTCCTTCAGGTCTCTAATAGGGTGATAGAATGATTCTATAGGGTATCTGGTCCTTCAGGTCTCTAATAGGGTGATAGAATGATTCTATAGGGTATCTGGTCCTTCAGGTCTCTAATAGGGTGATAGAATGATTCTATTGGGTATCTGGTCCTTCAGGTCTCTAACAGGGTGATAGAATGATTCTATAGGGTATCTGGTCCTTCAGGTCTCTAATAGGGTGATAGAATGATTCTATCGGGTATCTGGTCCTTCAGGTCTCTAATAGGGTGATAGAATGATTCTATAGGGTATCTGGTCCTTCAGGTCTCTAATAGGGTGATAGAATGATTCTATAGGGTATCTGGTCCTTCAGGTCTCTAATAGGGTGATAGAATGATTCTATAGGGTATCTGGTCCTTCAGGTCTCTAATAGGGTGATAGAATGATTCTATAGGGTATCTGGTCCTTCAGGTCTCTAATAGGGTGATAGAATGATTCTATAGGGTATCTGGTCCTTCAGGTCTCTAATAGGGTGATAGAATGATTCTATTGGGTATCTGGTCCTTCAGGTCTCTAACAGGGTGATAGAATGATTCTATAGGGTATCTGGTCCTTCAGGTCTCTAATAGGGTGATAGAATGATTCTATCGGGTATCTGGTCCTTCAGGTCTCTAATAGGGTGATAGAATGATTCTATAGGGTATCTGGTCCTTCAGGTCTCTAATAGGGTGATAGAATGATTCTATAGGGTATCTGGTCCTTCAGGTCTCTAATAGGGTGATAGAATGATTCTATAGGGTATCTGGTCCTTCAGGTCTCTAATAGGGTGATAGAATGATTCTATAGGGTATCTGGTCCTTCAGGTCTCTAATAGGGTGATAGAATGATTCTATCGGGTATCTGGTCCTTCAGGTCTCTAATAGGGTGATAGAATGATTCTATAGGGTATCTGGTCCTTCAGGTCTCTAATAGGGTGATAGAATGATTCTATAGGGTATCTGGTCCTTCAGGTCTCTAATAGGGTGTGTAACATTGGTTGGGCTGAAAATGGAATAGTAGCTGTTCTATGAGCCCTAATGCAGCCCGATGGTTGTTAGCCGATGGTGTTAGCTCATGTTTGTTAGCATATTAGCTGTTCTATGAGCCCTAATGCAGCCTGGTTAAAAGCCCTAGTATGAAACCACAGGTTTTCTTCCTTTTATGGTTTGATCATGAATATTTAGATGAGCTGTGCTCTGATTGGTTGGTTTACAACGAGCCAAGCTGCTGAGCAAAGACGCATCATAGCAACAAGCACTCAGTCACTGAAACATCAGATTGTTGATATGGTAGGGGGACCAGACG